ATTGGATGTATAGCCGGGTAACGGGGTACACTACGCTCGCGAAACGGTGAAAAGGGTGAACACGAGGGGCCATATACGGTCTCCCACTGGGTTTCAAACAATGGATGATGAGCCTTGCTCCGGACTGCCTCTCGCAACTAGAACGGTTTGCCTTCGTCGCAGCTCGCTGAACCCAGCCTGTGCGTATCTCACAGAACAAGAGAAGGACGAAGAAAGCACGCTCTTACAATGAAAAATTAGAAAAAAATTCGCACTTTGTTGCGATTCCCCTTAGCGAATTTCGTAGTGGTTCACAAAGAAGGAGCTATTTTCTTCGAGTTGGCATGCCGACTGAAAGGTTTCTAAGTCACATTTAGCAATGTTGCAGAGGGCTCAAGTGTGCCCTCTCAGAGACGAAGTCTGGCCACGCCTCCTTGAATTTTGCGCGAAAACTTAATCAGTCACACAGGGCAGGGCAATATTCCCATCAATTTATCCTTACATTCGAATCCTTCATAAACATCAACAAATTATGATGTTTGAAGCACCTCATAATCAGGGAGCTCTTCTAAGAACTGTAGCATGATCCTTTGATGATTGTTGACAATCAAAAGCGGATCATCAACTTGTTATTCAACTTGTTGGTCACGGTAGACCGCAGAACTAACAAGCTGGCTTAATGAAGCTACGATTGCTCGGATTCAGATATTGTGTTATTTATAACCGGAGAGGTAGAATATCTCTTGTGAATTGGGTGTGCAAGTTTGTAGCAGCAAAAATGTACTACTTGTGCCGCTAGAAAAAGCGTGGCAACGAGCCAAGAATTTGTCACTGTTTGATGTCACGTCAGCAGTTGAGTACTTAATCTGCTCCACCTACTACAACCTTAAAGGCAGTTGGCACGATAAATCGCTATACAGATGTAGGATTTATACGACTGGCTTAACAGAATTCCGTGACCTCGGACAGGCGCTCCGTGGCGCCTTTTCCAAGGAGGGTACCCCTATAACGCCCTATCGAGCAACAACATTCCGTCCCCCAAACGCCTTCCCGCCCGCCCACAAACGGACGACCGTTCCTGACGCTCGTATTCATTCATTTGCTGAGCAAATTATGAAGCAAAGGGATTGGTATGAAGCGGCCGTGATGCTGCATGCATACATGGGTACACATATGCAGCCGTATCTTCGGTAGCGGTGATTGGCAAGATGCGTACGGGAAACTCGTCCGAAATCGATTTTCAAGTCACTGAGAACGGAGGCTTTTTCTTCGCAGGATTTTGACCGTTTCACTCCGTTCTTTCGCCATTTCCCCACTACATAGCGCCCTACTAGCATTTTAGGCCGAGTGGGAAACCATCGTGCCAACTGCCTTTAAAGCGCTCCTCGTTAGCGCCCCCTCACCGCGACAGTGTTGCTGGTCTGAATGAACTAAGGGAAAACTTTCTTCGAGAGAGGAGACTACATCGGGATAGGTGAGATCAGTGGTGAGATGGTACGACCCTCCGAAAATTCCCTTCCAGTAGAACCCTCTCATTTTCCCTATCCGCTTACCATTGACAAATTCTCTCATTTTCTGCCAGTTATCCGAAAGCCTTTCAGTTACCGAAACCAACTATCATAATATCAGAAACATTTCTTGTATAGTAGGTTTGCGGCGCCGGCAGCCACGGAGGTGCAGCCTTACTTGCTGCAGACGATGAGGAGTTTGAGGTGGGGGGGGGGCAAAGTTTGGTCTGTTCTCCGCCAGTTGTTGGTGATGTCACGACAGGGACACCGACAGCAATTCGTGGAAAAGAGGCTGGCGCCGTGCCACACCCACTCCTTGCCACCCTGCCCGCCCCCTCCTCTCCCATGGAATACGCAAGCGTCCGCAACAAACAAGAACGCATATGGTATTAAGGGGAAATATGGAACAAGTAAAACGGCAAAAATCGTAAAGATCAACAACCAGTCACTGCTCGGAAAATTTTTTCTCAAATCCAGATACGACATTCCCCCTCCCATTGACAAATACAATAACTCACTCATGCTTCCTCATGAATTGCCCCATTCAATTGCCCCCATGCCAGATTTAGCATGAAATTATGCGGGGGTGGTGGATCCGCAGTAAAAGCATGTTTGTTGAACCGTATCCTCTGGAAAAGTCTTCTGCGCGTTTCTATGCACTTTTTCTAATACGGAATCAAAACAAATCTTTTTCGAAACAATCAGGAACAGCACGTGGGTGAGAGGGTGCAGACGAACAGCGCGTATGACGTTGTCGTGGGCGTGTCGAATGGTGGGCGGAGACCTGAGTGACGTCAAACAATCATCGACGCCCAGCTTCCTTGCCCTGCACTCTCCAGTGGCAAAAGTAGCACGTTTTTGTGGCTGTGAACCTGCACAGCTTGATAAATTGAGCGGATATACCATCAGCATAAGTGCACAATGTGCATTTTGGTTCGGAATTCAACAAAACAGAGACATGCACTGTGTGGTATGCCATCTTCCGACACAAATTCCACAGGAGTTTTGGGGAATCACAACAAGTACCTGATCAAATTTAGGAGTACCGTCTCTCCGTGCAACAAATTGGCATGTGACAAGACAATCGCAATCCGCCGCGCTGGTGACCGTCGCGTGCGACGTCGCGCCCCCAAATTGCCCTGTTTCCAGTTGGTAAATGGCAACAATAGACAAAGTGCAATCAAAGTAGCCATAAAGGTTCACGATAACGTAGACTACACGGAATCTGGTGCCCCACTCGATAAGCTTACGCAAACTGAGAAAACGTCGCGGGCGCGACGATTGTCTTGACCGTCTCGCTCGAAAAAACAACGTACCTGCGGCGCGACTGCATGAGCGCCAACGACGTTCTTCTGTTATGTCCATTTTGCTTTATGTGAACAGGGCTGAGCACTTTTCAAACGCGAGGGTGAAGAATTCGCGACTGTTGTACAGTTGTTGTCCTGTTGATGGCCAGGTATGACAGCTGCTAAAGAGGTGATTTTTTCTCACCATCAAGAACACTTATGGTTAGAAACATGAGCTTCAATCTACCCAGTTCGGCAATTTCTAAAGAATTGGTTTCTTGGTGGCATGTATAGGATTGAAGGCTCGTGCGCAAGAACAAGTGTCTTCACTGCATCATTCTCAATAAAATATTCGCTAGCAGTCCGTTTTCTACGTGCGTGAACGATAAGCAAGTAAAGCCGGGTCTCTATCTCCGAAAAAGTTCGAGGAAACTCAGATGATTTTGACGCGTTAAATCGCCGGCGTAAAAAAACCAAAACGAGGTGCAGCGGCTGTGAGATATTTCAATTGTTTCTTGGCGTGTCCGTCCACCCAAAAAGGTAGGCGGCAGCCGCTAGAAGAACTTAATTGTCAAACGTACATTTCACGCCAGCGAAGTCAGTCGTCTCGCGTCGCGGTCATTGCGCGGCGTGCGTTGATCGATTGAATGTGGATTCCTGTCAGATGATATTGACAATTAAGTTCTTCTGTAATAGAAGAACTTAATTGTCAATATCATCTGAAAGGAATCCCATTCAATCGCGCGCAATGACCGCGACGCGAGACGACTGACTTCGCTGGCGTGAAATGTACGTTTGACAATTAAGGTCTTGTCACGCCGTTTTGCATACATGTAAACGAACTGGGCGTGGTGAAACAAGATCTAACCTGTAAATCCGGGGATCTCCGAGCGAATGCGCGTGACGGCTCCCGCCCTCAAAACTGAAGAAGAAGCACGTTCGAACGTTCTTTCTTCCTAACAACGCCACCGACCTTGACATGGGGTTTGTGTTGTCATGACAAGACCTTAATTGTCAAACGTACATTTCACGCCAGCGAAGTCAGTCGTCTCGCGTCGCGGTCATTGCGCGCGATTGAATGTGGATTCCTTTCAGATGATATTGACAATTAAGTTCTTCTATTACAGAAGAACTTAATTGTCAATATCATCTGACAGGAATCCACATTCAATCGATCAACGCACGCCGCGCAATGACCGCGACGCGAGACGACTGACTTCGCTGGCGTGAAATGTACGTTTGACAATTAAGGTCTTGTCTCACCGAGAGAAGAGCACGTTTGAACTTATTTTCTTTCTAGCAAGGCACCCACCCTCACATGGGTTTGGTTGTCATGCGCATTCGCTCCGGGAGCTTTTTGGCTCCACGCTGCCTAACACCGGCGTCTGCCCGGGTATCTGACAGGAGAATCGTAATCGCCGCGCTTCTGGGCGCTGCGTGCGACGTCGCGCCCGTCAGATGATGACGATTCCAGGTGGCTCGATGGCACACAACAGACAACTGAGAACCGAAAATAGTTATGAATTATCTAACGGTGATGACGGGCCTACGTGAAGTCCGGTGCTCCCAATGTCACAGGTTTAACAAAAAGTTATAAAGGACGCCGCGCTCCGATCGCCGCGCGCGGCGGAGCGGTAAATTACTCTTTCGTCTCGCCCGTCTGCCCTGCTAGCGGACTCTCGGAGAGGCCGTTTCTTCACGATTTCAATTTCTAATCGCAAAACTACACAAATGGCCCACATCAACCATGTGCAGCACGTCTGCGAAAAACTGAGTGGTGCTTTCGAGCATGAGGCTTTAATATTCCTACCAAATTGGTTTCCACAGTAATAACAGTGTTTTCCTCCAAAAACCACCTGTGGCCTAGTGGAACTCAAACTTCCAGTATTTTTTTTATAAACCATGCAATAAGCTAGCGAAACATTAAAAAACATTTGAAGATGATTGAAAACATTACAAAACGAATATTGATCGATTTGGAAAATTGCATAAAATGAGAACAAAAAGGGAGACGACAATAAAACAGGGAAACCATCACTGCTACTATCTGATAACGACCGACGAAGATGATGATGAATATATGTAAATGTGATTAATGGATAAACTGCGGATATATTGATAATATATTGACCGATCGACATATTCACTAATCAATTATCGATTGAAGCACGCGTGCGAGCACAGCAGGCGGAAACTGTCGTGACGGCGGCGCCTCGACAACGACGATTTACTGGATCTGGATGCCAGTCAGCTCGATATCACCTTGAATCTGAAGACCACTGATGTCGTTGGGGTCTTGACGATGAGCGAACGATGCGAAACGCTCTCCGTTCACGAAGATCTGAAAAAGAGCCATTAAACCAGAGAATTGTTCTCGAACATTATCACAATCAGGGCACATTGTACGCCAGGGGAGGGGACAGCATCTTGTGTGGAACACATAGGGGTCGTACTTTCCCGGAGGTGGTCGTATTTGTTGCTTGGAAGAGGGGTCGTATGGGTCTTTGAGAGAAATTCGCCGCGTTGGAAAAGAATTGTTTCCCGGTTGTTGACTTTTCGCGTGATCTTCCCTGTTTCATGTGTACTATATACCCCTGACCCCTCGCCCCCACCCCACCCCCCGCACGACAGCAAAATTTCTGGGTGAAAAACTAGAAAATGGGGGAAATTGGTAGGTGGGTGTTGGGGACACCCTCTTTGAGGTAGGGGGGGGTCGTATCAGGATCCTCTTCCGGAGGGGGTCTTACTGATACCACTATTTCACACATCACGATGCTGTACCCTGCACCGGAGAACACCCAACTAGGGTTCTATGAGGCCGCTGGAGGGAGGGTGAGGATCGCATCCAGCCTGAGAAATTTTTTCTTGATTTTCCCTTCTATACGCGCACCATCCATATCATTGGGAGACTCTCACTGAGTGAGGGGAATGAGTGCATTTGCTCGTCACTTTGAGAGGGGATCCTATTTAGTCTCAAGGAAAGTTCTTCCACGTCCCCCCCACTCTCGCAAGACGGCGCTTTTCAGAGAAGAAGTCGAAAAACTTCTCGGAAAAGTGGTAGGAAGTTCGGAAAAGTTTGTAATAAGGTAGGTGGGATGGGGAAGGGGGTGGAGCGTAAGTACCAAAGGAATATATTCGTGAGGGGATCGTATTTCACAAGAATTTTCCCCAGCGACAGGAGGTGCCCAGATCATACAGACAAGTAGATAGGGGTTTCTGCAGCTTCATAAC